ACTCCCTAATTCCAAAGTAGTACATCCTGTTAATTTAAGAAGCGCACACACTTGAATGGTGAACATCCTGTTATAATGGAGAAACTTAAATTTATCCTTACAAGTTCAATGAGTATAAAATAGTGGAACTGTTCCAGACATCTTTATATCCCACTGTATTCAAATCTTCTGCTTCCTCCTGCGACTCCCTTCATGGGAAGCGGTATTATCCAAAAATACATGTCATTGTAAGAGTGAACACACACACTCACTTCTACTGGAACTGAAGGTTATACTCCTTATTAGTACATTTAACTAAGACAGTGCTGATGAGTCAATCTAAGTGAAGATTATATTTCCATATAAGTACATAAGTGATCACACCATGACTGACTGAAGGCTATACTCTTTATCTCATTAAACAGTGTCCCAGTAAGATAAGAATTTCCAAACAGTGCTTGTGCTGCAGTCATACAGCAACCTTAATGTTACATTCCATATAGTGTATAAAGATACTAGTGTTTTTTCTACAATACATATTCTTATATGTGCACAGTGAACAGTGTTGATGCTTGAATTGCAATGTCTCACACAGTTAATATCTCACAGTAGAGATATTGCTTAGGACTTAAAAGTTGTAAGATGATGTCATGGGGTAGGACTAGATAAGTCTAACTTCTTCCTACTCCGTTCAAGCATGTACTAGGTATAAGTAAATTGATATTGGATTATTATTGTTGGATATGTGTGAAATTACATGTGTTGACATATCAACTGTTTTACATGCTTGAATGAATAAATCAAATCAAAATCAAATCAAATCAAAAGTCAAATGTACAGGTCATGCAGTGATCTACAGGAGTATCACCACACCCGCTACCTGTAGGAGAGCACTGCAAACCTCATTGAACAATTACAGTACATGTCTGAACAAAAGAAACGAGTACATACAGGAGGTGAATTTAAGACCATGCTGCTGCCAACACATTTTGCTTACTCACTGCATCTTTTAAGCTGCTGTATATCCACCTGACATGACTGCATAATTATCCCATTTGTGTCTCAGCCTGACATCATGTTGATTCTTTGTCTCAAACATTTAACATTACTCCATAAGTGATAGAGTTTTTGTTCCTCAACAAACACAGTTTGTATTTGGTAAACATGAATGTGTGTCAGCCCTGTGATAGTCTGGCAACCTGTCCAGGGTGCTGGATGCTAATCATTACACATCAGAGCCCAAAGTGACATCTTCATTTTGTCTGACCAAAAGTCCAAAACCCACAGATGTTCTGTTGACATACACAAACAGTAAATGCTCTCATTTGTAAACCTGGAACATGAGACATTATAGCACTATCTTTACCATTTCTGCTTGATTAACAACGGAAGTGATTGATCAATTACCAATACAGGGTAAGGATCATTTTTCTATTTTTCACCTCTAAAGAGCAGTGGGAACTGCACGTGCTTGAAGGTGCTATACAAATAAACTTGCCTTGCTTTGTTCGTGATTTTCTCCATCACTATTTTACAATAAAAACTGAACCAAAGTTACAGCATTCATTCAGAAGTCGTCAGGTAAACCGCTGACTAGCCACCAAACACGCCGTCAGGTTGATCCGATCACATAAGCACATGTTAAGAAAATCATATCTGGCAGCTAATTGCTAACTAGGCTAATAACGACTAGCAGTGTTAGCTAAATTTGTTCAACCAGTTTGAATTAAATTGTCTAGCAAATAAGCTCGTAAAGCTGGGAGGATATCTTCTAACTGAATGTTACAAACGTGAAGTAAGAATAATGTCATCAATACATTCAGAGACTCTCTCGGCAGTGACTCACAGTGGATCACCCGGTCCTCTGGCTGACCGCAGCTGTGAAGGACTCGGGCAACAGCATACCGGACGTCTAGCTTGACCTTCAAAATAAAAGCCTGCCCCTCGTCATTTTTGTGGAGTTCCTACGCCCCCTCCTGGCTTTCTAGGGTATTACATATAATTCATGTTATGTTTTTAATTGCCATACAGATACTGATCGGGAATTTTATTTTCGATACTATATAATTCGCATCCTTAATATCCAGATGAATATAAGGGATTAAATGTATAAATTCCCATAATCTCTATTTACTGTACCGTGCAAAGGTTTTATTTATTTACTGTTTACAAATGATTAATCAGAGTAGTTGTATTATCTCCGACCATGTCCATGTTAAACGATTTCAATTTCATTAAACGTCACATAACACATTAATATCATTGCTATCGGTGAAATGATTTGTATGACTAAATAATAATTTCTAATACTGGGCATACTGTGATACTATAAGAACACAAAACTGTTAAAGTACAAGAGGAAACAAAAAAGTCAGATGTTTACAGTAGGAAGGAGAGGATAATTTCTAATACTGGGAATACTGTGATACTATAAGAACGCAAAACTGCTAAAGTACAAGAGGAAACAAAAAAGTCAGATGTTTACAGTAGGAAGGAGGGGATTTATATCATTTTAACCGGAACGGGGCTGAGCCATTGGTAACGTTAGCAACCACACTGAGCGACAGGCGCGGTTATCGTTAATAATGTGAAGGATTGTTGTTAGAATTATGTCTCCAAATACTGACTGAACCAGTTTTTTTTAGACCCCAAGTACTACTGGATTTACCCGAGAAGCGTCGTTTCTTATAACCGTGCAGGTAAGGACCGAGACTAACATTTATTTGGATTTTAAATAGCTGCTGCGGACTGGTGTAACGTTAGTTGCTGTGCGATCGTCATGCAATACAGGGACGCTAGCTGGCTAGCATTAGCTGGCGTGTCAATGTCGATACGCTTATCTGTAGCAAACCATCTAAATCTAATATTATCTGTTATGTGGCTAAATTTATTTACAGTTTTGTACGCTGTTAGGTTATGGGTAGCTTGCTAAAGAGGCGAGTTAACGTGAGCTAGATGACCGATTATTGCCAACAGTCTAGCTAATGCTAATAGCGAAAGATTGCTAGTCAGCCTATGACGCTGTCGACGCCTCGTCTGAGTTTGACAGCTCAGTTTGAGCAGTGGACAAGGCCAAAGCCACACATCTGTAAACCTAACACCTGTATCTACCACAGACTAACCTGGTAATTTAGCTAGCTAAAACCTGGGCGAAATAATTCGGCAGTTATATATTTTCACACTTTGCCTAGTTTAACATTAATTGGCAGATAATGCTAGGTTTTCAACATGTCTAATGTGCTGAATGCTAAACCGTGCTATCATAGTACTTGGATTCCCTAATGTTTATTTTTGCACTGTTACTATATCACTGTTGTAAATGATGATAACACGGAATCTGGTCAACATCGGTTTCATATGCGCTGCCTGTTGTGGGTCAACGCCCCACCCTGACTCCAACACCTCTTTGTGAAGATTTACATCCACTGCAATAGTGTTGTCATTGTTATTATGTCAGTAGTAATGGCAGAGAAGGTGTGAGGATGGGTTCTTACGGTGAAGGAGTTTGGATAGGTATTCACCAGCCTTGTATAATCGCTGGAGGCTTCACAGAAAAACCACAGGCTAATTAGATTTTGCTGGTGCTACTAGCTGTAATGCCCGTTTACTCTTGGAGGTACAGTGAGTTTGTTCATCTGACCTTTTGGACGGATGCCTCCAAGGTTTAGGGCAATTATAGAAGCCCAGTAAGACAGAATTGTTGTTGATCTAGTATCTCATCAGTTTGTCAGGGTAAATATTTGTATCTAAAGTTAAAGCAATGTAAAGCAGTCTGATAAGCTAATTTGACTATAAAGTACAGTCACAGATAGCAGTGTTTAGGTGAGGGAACAGGCATACTGACTTGTACAAGACTGGACATGAGTTGAGGTTTCAGCTTCTGCATGTGTTCATGTAGATTTCCCAGTTGACCTGTTGGTAGGAAACAGGATGCACAGCGGCTAGATTAAATTTCAAAGGAATACAATTTCCCTTTTTGCCCATCAGTCTCCACTCAATAACTCATAGCAAAGTTAACAAAGTCAGATCATGTTTTTAGAAATTTTTGCAAAGTCAATAAAAATCCAAACCTGCAATCGGTCATTTACAAAAGTTTTACCAACAATATTTTCATTATCTTTATTATCTCATTTCAATTTATCTGTTATTGCTTGAAAAATGACTTATCAAAATAGTTGCAATTTTTTTTTATGAAGGTGATGTAATGCCTTGCGTGCTTTTGCTCATACATTTGCTCTTGTCAGCTGTTTGTTGTATGTTGACAGGCTGTGGTCTAAAGAAGGTTCGTGCATGCAGTGACAACTGGGGCAAGTGGTTTTTACCATGTTGTGGTGATTTTAAATTGGTTGAGTCACATCCAGCAGTAAGGAGCTGTGAGCTGGGCTCTGCTGTCATCATGGTGTTAACACCTGAGCACATTTCAAAGGCCTGTGGTCACACATTCAGTGGTTTGTGGTTTTGTGGGCAACAGACACGTTGGTGTTTTCGGTCTAAATAAGCTAAATAAAGCTGCTTAAGAACACGCACAGTTATGATCAACCTTTTTATGAGTGTTTTTATACACTTAAAGCTACTCTACCAAATTTCTTTTCAGTATAGAGGGCTTAGTGAGACTCAAAATGAACTGACACCATAAGCCGCTCCTAACCGC